GGGGGCGGGTTTTAGGTGTCTTACGGTAGTGCCCTGGCACCCCGGCGGGGGCTATTAGGTGTATTACGGTAGTGCCCGGGCACCCCGGCGGGGGCTATTAGGTGTATTACGGTAGTGCCCGGGCACCCCGGCGGGGGCTATTAGGTGTATTACGGTAGTGCCCGGGCACCCCGGCGGGGGCTGTTATGTGTATTACGGTAGTGCCCAGGAGGCCCTGATGAGGTGGGGGGGGAGGTGTTGGGTGGACTTGTGTTCAAAAATAGAATCTCTCTTTATTGAACAAAACTTGGGGAGACTGGGCTGATGAGGTGGGGGGGAAGTTGTTGGGTGTATTACAGTAGTGCCCAGGAGCTCCCCATTGGGGGGTTGGTTATCCTGCAGGGCAGGCTCAGTATTCCTTCTGAGAGGCAGAGAAATGCTTTCTACTTGTGTTTTCAGATCAATTACCAGTAGCTTGTTTTGCCATCTGTATTCAGTGTGCGTTCACACTTGATCTCTCCACACACCACCATTGTTAGGCGGTTTCCTCACTGTGATACATGGTGACCTGTCAAACTGAGTTTTACAAGTGGCTGAATATTGTGTCAACTTTGTGCTGTTGTGTTTAAAGTTTCCCAGGCTGTTTTCCTCAGGTGCTAAAGCATCTCAAATGTTAAATAATCCCCTTTCTCTTTTCTGGTAGAAGGTCCTAGACATGGTCATCTAAGGACTATGACAAACAGCAATAAGGAAAATTTTCTGTCAATACCATTTTCATAGGGATTCTAACTCTTCAGACTTTTTGCTTCTAGTGTGATGGGGAATCTGCTCTAGATCTTAACGATGGCTTTGAATTACCACTATCTGTACACTCAGGCCTACTCTACACTGCTGGGGGTTGTGGATTTAAGTTGCTGAAATAGATCTAAGGATCTGAATAGTGTAGCTGAAATTGGCGTACATAGGTCTCCTTACCACGATGTCTTCACTGCTGAGAGTTAACAGCTGGCACTCCCTTGCTGACTCCATCTACGCTTCTCATTTTGGTGGAGTACCAGAGTTGACAGGAAAGTGCTTGGTGGTCCTCTATACAAGCTACAATAAATCCATCCCCACTGCTGTGATCACTGCCTGTCTCCAGCCCATACCAAAGACTTGCCCTCAGATTCACGGTTAATCCAGCTTCCTTCAGAACTTTCCCAAGTGATATCTTTGTGACCAGTTTCAAGTAATGGAATTCCTTGCTGGAGCTACATCTCTGCTACTGGGTCCTGCTCTCTGATTTTACCAGAGTTGGTTCCATGTATTGGGCAAATAACTTTGTGGTCGCTCATTCTCATTTAAGAGAGAACTTGTTTTTGATCCTTCTGTAAATTGGATTAATGTTTAGTGATCTGTTGTTCTGGACATCAACAACTTCACTGCTACTGCTTTTCTTGACTGTGTAGTCCTGGGGTTTTGTTGTTGCATGGGGTCCTGGCCAAAACCTAGACTTGTGGTCAAGTCTCTGGTCCTACAGTTATTTGCTTTGAATCAGCTCTTGTGTTGTCATTGGGTTTTGATGCTTGAGGAAGAGTGCTTCATGTTAAGCGGTAGCTTTGTCTATGTGGGGTAGAAGCCACTCAAGCACAGTGGAGCCCCTCACTGGTGGGGAGTGGACCAGCCTGGCCAGAGCAGCCCCTGTCTGAAGCGGGCCCAGCATGGCATGCCCAGGTAAGGGCACTCCGGAGCTTCCCCCGTGGTGGGGAGCAGCTCCAGCTCACCTGCCCTGTTTAAGTGGTTAGCCAGTTAAACATGACGGTTAACTGATTAACAGGGACTTTACATCCCTAGTCTTGAAACAGTTTGTATCTTTGTTCAAGCTCAAATCTCTAAAATAGCTTTTTGTGGTTTGGCATTGGTAGGTGAGGCATGGTAAAAGTCTTTGAAGATTTGCTCCTGTGACAATTTGTGGGATCAGTTTGTGATATCCTATTTGATTGTGGGATCTTTTTATATGTATCTGTGTCAGATTGCAGAATCCATTTTTTTAATCTTTTCTGTTCTTTTACCTCGATGCTGGATGTGAATTCTAGAGGTTGGCGGCAAAGGCCTAACAATAGATGGTCCTTCCCGTGACATTGAATCAGTCTGTACAATTGGCTGACTATTGTCCAGGAGAACTGACTTACCAGAGGGAAGATTGCCTGTCAACAGAATGACCCGGTGATAGTCTGAGACTCCCTGAAGAGGCTGATCCAAGAGTTGCCTGACAAAGGGTCTTGTGTTAATTTAGATGGAATCAAGGTGTTAGCATGAATCTGTAGCTGTCTAACACGAATTAGTGAGGGGCCAGTGCAGGTTTTAGGGACTTGGACAGTGGGTAACATTGCAGCTGCTAGAAGGGAAGGCTAAATGGAGTATTTGTGAACCGTCCGGTGGGTGGCCAGGAAGAGGTGCTCTGCTGGAGCAGTGTTTCTCAAAGTGGTTTGTGAAACCACTTTGAGAAACCTGCTAACTAGCCTGCCCCGGTGTGTTATTTTACCGGTGCCACGGCCACGGAGCCTGATGGCTCCCATTGGCTCTGGTTCACTTTTTGCAACCAAGGGGAGCCCCTGGAATTGACAGCCTGGCCCACGCTGCTTCCCCTTGGCTACAAACGGTACTCAGTCCGGAGAGCATCAACCCCCTCCGCTTCCCGTGCCTCCCCTTGGCTACAAACAGTACTCAGTCCGGAGAGCATCAACCCCCTCTTAGTTCCCAGCCCAATGAGCATCACTCCCCTCCCTTCTTCATTCCATCCACTAAAATGATCACTGATTAAACCATTGGTCCCCAGACTTTTGAGAGTAGCACCCTCAATCCTTCAGGGATAGGAGCAGGGCTGCAGCTCCCATGGGGAAAGAAGGGGGAGAATGGGATAAGAATAAGGGGGCCCAGGCTGAGGGTGAGTCTGGGGCCAGAAACACAGCCATGGCCAGGGGCCAGGTGTGGAGCTGCAGCTGTGGACTAAGGCTGGGAGCAAGACTTGGTACAGGGTCAGGAGGTGGGGCTGCAGTTGTGGGTAGGGTTGGCACAGAGCAGGCAATGGAGCAGCTTGGGGTGGCACTCCCTCTCCAGATCCCTCTGTGCCTCTGAGTGTTTCTCCATTCCTCCCGCCTCCCATGGGCTGGGACCCACACTTTTAGAACCTCTGGACTAAACAATTTAAAATGAAATGTCATTGTCAGTATTAAGTAGATGCTCCAGTCAGATAAATAAAAGATATAGGAGTTTACCCCTCTGTCGTTGTATCAGGTAGTCAGACTCAGGGAGACATGGCTCCAGTTCATTCACAAAAGGTATTTCCACAGTCATGGTGACTAGAAAGTTTTTTTTTTTTAATGAAAACTTAGAACACCTGAATGTCATGTGAGCCATGTAATTAAATCAGTCAGATTCCATGCTTTATATGCTTATTTTAGAGGTAAGCGAAGTTATTAGCTGCTGGTATACATGTGTGGGTATATTTACCAGCACTGTAGAGGGGAAAAAAAAATTAGCTCAGGGAGTTCTTACCTGTTTCACATCAGTACAAAACCTAATTCTGGGAATCCTCTGAACTGATGTACTCAAGAAACAAATAATTAATTGAATAGTTCCCTTTCTTTTTCAAGTGGTATCATGTTTGATGGTAAGAAATTGACTTTAGTTTTTTCTTTTTTTTACAGAATCATTTAAAAAATGACTACAGAGCAAGATTTTGCTATGGAGAAGGGTAATTAATTTTAATTTGTAGATTCTGGCCACTTGTGACAGTTATGTTGTGCTATATTAGTAGATAAATATAGGAACTACAGTATATCAGCTATATTCTTTTAACTTGGTTATCGGATTAGTTCAGTGTTTTTATTTTAAGTGAATATTTTATTTTATATGTGGAAGTTAAAATGTTAAATACTAAAATAGTTTTACTGAAAGCATTTTATTTTTTTCCTCCTGATTATTTTGGTCAATCGAGTGATCCTCAGTTAAATAGAATATTAGAAGGTGGACATTGACAAGCAAATGTCTGACTATTCACTCAGAAGTCAGGTAATGCCAGCGTTTAGATTGTGTACAGAACCTTAATTTTGCTTTTTGCTTCTGAGCTACTGCATTACCCCATCCAGCATCCCTTTGATTTACATGTGGGTAAAAGGGTGAGTGAAGACGAGGCCTATTGATACTTCCTTCTCAGACCCCAGCCTTTTCCAACTTCTAAGTATTTACACCATGCAACTATAGTGTTTCTAACATAGCTTTTTCAGTTCCACAACTAGAAATGTTTGGCTAGGCATCACAGAGATGACCTGTCGAATGCATTGCAGGAAATAAGAATCCCTCTCTTGCTGTCACATAGGTTGTTTACTGGATAAAACACTTCACAGAATTTTCATGTATACTTCATTGGCCTTAGTGCACTTTAAGGCTTGATCTACCCTACTATGTGAGATTGATCTGAGTTATGCAACTTTAGCTATGTGAATAATTGAAGTCAAAATGCTTAGAGCTACGTACCATGGTGTTTTTGCTGCTTTAAGTCAACAGCTGATGCTCTCCCAATGATTCCGCCTGTGCTTTTTGATCTGGTGGAGTACCGGAGTCGATGGGAGAGTGCTTGAGGATCTATTTATCGCGTCTAGTATAGATGTGATAAATTGACTCCTGCTGGATTGATCGCTGCCCGTTGATCTATTGGGTAGTGTAGACAAGGCCTAATATTCTGCAGTTGTTCCTCCATCTATTCCTCCATTGCAGTTTCCACTGGGGATCTTATTCAGTCCTTTCACACCTTACAATTTTTGCATAAACACTTTTCCTATTTACAGATGTTTCTGCCAATTTGCAGCAATACATTTGTTTTCTTACTATACAGCTAAGTCAGGCATGCATATTGGGGAGTCTACTTTTAGGTGCACACTTATTAGTTTAGTGAAAAAATTACCTTACTTGCCTAAGATCTGATTTTTAAAAACTTGTAACATATATTCATACCAAAAAACAATTTATTCCTATTCTCTTGGCTTTATTACCCAATGAGGGCATGTCACCTGTAAGGCAGTGTAAAACAAAGTTGTCCATTTTGGTTTGCGGGAAGAAGACATTTTTTCATGCCCCTCATACTCAATATTGGTTGAACTATTGTCTCTTGAATTTTCAGAAAGCAAGCTAAACTTATCATCATGCAGAAAATTAAGCTTGGAAAACCAAAAATGTACAGAAGTTATGAACTAATATCAATAGTGATGTGATGTCAATGTAAAAGCCATTATATCATATCAGCCATTGTGCTTACTCTGCATATGCTGAGAGAAACAGGCTACATGCAAATTTTAGGTAGTAATTTTTTATAGCAAAAGATGCTTTAAATATATTTTTTCCTTCTTCCCTCTAGAAAAGAACAGATTAATGTACAGCCAGGCCAAAATGCACTGAAAATTATTCAAGACTGTTTTGAAAGTAAGCATCTAACTTTTATCCGTAAATTAGTATCTTTAATTTATGAGCATGTCAGAAAACTCTCCTCAATCATGCCTAGTGGAAAGCGATTGGTTGTATAAGCAGTTTGATTTTTCATGTAGCAAGTCCATATCATAATGCAAAATGTGTAAAGATTTTTCTAAAAATATATGAGAACTGCAACCTCTCCTACATAAACCATATCTTTTCCTGTTGAATGAATTTTTTTCTCATTAGGTCGGAGTAAATCATATCTTTTAAAATATACAAGCTATGTATTTGTTCCCTTTATCTTGTTACATTGTTTTTTTTTCTTTTTAGGTTGTGTTAGTGATTCTACAATACATTCTCCAAGTATAACATATTGCTCAACCCCTGTCATTTTAAAGCAAACGAAAGATTTATTACTGAGCAAAGAGGTGAGAGAGTGGTCTTAACAACAATGTAACTGTTTGGTGTGGGGAACTATTTCCCTTAAATATGTATTTGTCGTCATTCGACAGAGTTTTATACATGCACCTCTTGAAGTTTTATACATGCACCAATAACGGGAGTGTGCTAATAAAGTTTTCGGATGACACAAAGTGGGAGGTATTGCCAATTCAGTAAAGGACCAGGATATTATACAGGAAGGTCTGGATAATCTTGTAAATTGGAGTAATAGTAATAGGATGAAATGTAATAGTGAGAAGTATAAGGTTATGCACTTAGGGATTAATAACAAGAATTTTAGTTATAAGCTGGGGACACATCAGTTGGAAGTGACGGAAGAGGAGAAGGACCTCTGAGTCCTGGTTGATCACAGGATGACTATGAGCCGCCAATGTGACATGGCTGTGAAAAAGGCTAATACGGTCTTGGGATGCATTAGGTGAGGTATTTCCAGTAGAGATAACGAGGTGTTAGTGTCCTTAAACAAGGCATTGGTGAGACCTCATTTGGAATACTGTGTGCAGTTCTGGTCCCCCATGTTTAAGAAGGATGAATTCAAATTGGAACGGGTACAAAGAAGGGCCACTAGCATGATCCAAGGAATGGAAAACCTGTCTTATGAAAGGAAACTCAAGGAGCTTGGCTTGTTTACCTTAACCAAAAGAAGGCTGAGGGGAGACCTGATTACTCTCTTTAAATATATTAGAGGGATAAATACCAGAGAGGGAGAGGAATTATTTAAGCTCAATATCAATGTGGACACAAGAACAAATGGATATAAACTGGCTATCAGGAAGTTTAGACTTGAAATTAGACAAAGGTTTCTAACCATGAGAGAAGTGAAGTTCTGGAACAGCCTTCCAAGGGAAAGTAGTGGGGGCAAAAGACCTATCTGGCTTCAAGATTAAGCTAGATGGGTTTATGAAGGGGATGGTTTGATGGGATAACATGATCTTGGCAACTAATTGACCTTTCACTATCGGTGGTAAATAGGCAATGGTGGGATGATAGGAGTTACTATAGAGAATTTTTCCTGGGTGTCTGACTGATGAGTCTTGCCCACATGCTCAGGGTTTAGCTGATTGCCATATTTGGGGTCGGGAAGAAATTTTCCTCCAGGGTATATTGGCAGAGGCCCTGGAGGTTTTTTGCCTTCCTCTGTAGCACGGGGCACAGATCACTTGCTGGAGGATTCTCTGCATCTTGGGATCTTCAAACAATCATCTGAGGACTTCAATATCTGAGATATATGTGAGAGGATTATTCCAGGAGTGGGTGGGTGAGATTCTGTGGCCTGCACTGTGCAGGGGGTCAGACTAGATGATCATAATGGTCCCTTCTGACCTTAAAGTCTGTGAGTCTATAAGTCTACAGCTTATACATTTTCTTTATTTGTGGCATAATTTATCCCTCTTCTGTAACAGAGGATAACATTGTTTTACCATAACAACAAAGGCAAATAATTTGGGCATAGTCTCTTACAAAGGTTGTACATCTCCCTGCTCCATACTTTTTCTCATAATAGTTTATCAGCTTTCATTCCTGATAACTTTTCCTGGTAGTCTCTCTGGTTCAGCCTTCTGTGTTTTTGTCACTCCCAGCTTCCGCTTTGGTCCCGCTAAACCTTTTACAATTAAAAGTCCCTGCAAAAAGCAGTGAATGATGCCTTGCCCATCCACAGCTGGTTGGTAGGGCTAGCTTGAGTGCCAGTGTAAAAGAATTCAGTTGTTTGTTAGATCTTTTTTTGTGTTGTACCTCCCAGTAATCAAATGTAAGTATATAATTGGGTCTTTGAAGTATGACAACTGATAAACTATTTCTATATAAGATGTAGGGTATATGGCATTCTAGCAGGCTTTGTCCTGTGATTGCATCTGTCCTAGGTAGTCTCCGCTGCCAAAAGGGTCAAGCTGCAGGCTCTTGTGCTGTGTCTAGACGACATTCTCTGTCAACAGAGGGTTATAAATGAGGCACTTTGAAAGTGCAAATGAAGCGTGGATTTAAATATCTCACACTTCATTTGCATAATCGCATAATGGCGCTTTGTTGTCAGAGGGATGTAGTCTAGACACAGCTTTGGGGTGTGTCTATACTTGTAGTAAAACACTCATAGCTGGTTGCATCGGGTTACTTGTGCTTATAGAGCTTGAACTATGGGCTAAACAATTGCAGTGTTCCCTGTAATCTGGGAGCCTGTGTGGCCACTCTCGAGAGATTCAAATTCCTCCCAGCTGATCAGCAGCACACCCTCAGTTAGGTTTTTGTTTGTAGTGATGGTGCACCTATGTCGGTGCAAATTGAAAAAAATTATTCCGCACATGGATGGAGAAGAGGGAACGTGTCGGTGCAAATTGAAAAAAAATTATTCCGCACATGGATGGAGAAGAGGGAACATTGATCTAGATGTTTAGGCTCAAGCCTGGGCTCTGAAACCCTGTAAGTAAGGTGGGTCTCAGAGCCGGGGCTCTAACCTGATCCTGAATGTCTACACTGTAACTTTGAGCTGTACAGTCGGAGCACTGCAAGCCTAAGTCAGTTGCTCTTCTTCTGAGACTCTGTTCTGGGTTGTGTGGTTTGTTTTTTCCTTTTAGACAGGCATACACATTGCTTGTTACTGACATTCTGCATATTTCAGTTTTCAACTAAGACAGACCATTCTTATGGGCCTATAATTAATCTGATCAAGTACATCTCTGAGTGTGGTCTACTTAGATTTTTATATGGGTCCTATTGATATTCTTTTCAGCTGTATTACAGATACTAATCAGTTTATCCTCAGAGCACCACTGAGTAAAGAGGTTTTCCTTATTTTACTTCTGATGACCTGGGATGCATAGCAGGAGTGATAAAAGTATATTTTTTTATATCTTTTTACAGTCATGATATTCATTTTAATCGTCTTCACATTTTTTTTTCCATAATTTAAAACATTTTATTTATGTTGGCAGAAGGAAATGTAAGAATTTAACCAATTAACTGATAAGCATCAGCTTATTGATTTCCATTACAGTTAAACTCTTCTGGCCTGCGGGCTGGTGTGCAATGGCTTCCAGCTGCCTGTCCCGTTCCTGGGTAGCTGGCTGCCATCCTGTGCTATAGGCTCTGCAGTATAAGGCTTATACCACAGAGCCCAAAGCTCAGCCAGTTCCCTGGGAGCAGGGTAGCAGCCAGGAGCTGGTGTGTGCTGGGAGAGAGGGTTATAAGCTGCTCCTAGTGCTCCCATCTGCCAGCTGTGCTCCTGGGGAGCCAACTGCTGCTCAGCATGGCAGACTGACGTACAAGTAGCCCAAAGCACAGAGCGGCAGCCAGCTCCCCCGGAGCGGGGCAGGCAGCCAGGAGCAGGCTTATACTGTAAGCCAGCTCCTGGCACACACCGACTTCCAGCTGCTGGCTCTGTGCTACAGGTGCTGCAAGATCCTTATACTGCAGAGTTTGCAGTGCAGGGCAGCAGCCAGCTCCCTGGGAGCCGTGGGGGCATCCCTCACCATCCTTCCTTCCCTAGTCCCACCCGGCTGTAGATCCCCCCCAAAATGGTTAACTGTATAACAGCTAGGATTTTTATGTTTACACACTCACTGTTTTTAAACCTTTTTTACATCCCTTTGCTTTTTACCAGCATCCTAAATTACTAAAGTAAATCACTTTAGTTAGCTTCTTACTGATTAATGGAGTTTTAAATTTTTATCTAGGTTTCCTTATACTAAGAAGTTTCACATTTAACATGATTATCTATGCTGAAAAATACAAGTCCAGGGCTTCATGTAATATTTTGACTTCATGTAATATTTTGAGAGTAATAAAAACTAGGACTGTTAAATAATGAAAAAAAAATCACAGTTAAATAAACATGATTAATTGCATGATTAAAAATAGTCACAGTTAATCGTGCTGTTACTAAAATAAATATTTTTCTTTTCTGCATTTTCAAATATATATTTTTAACTGCAAACATTTGTGATAAGATATCAAGTGTGTAGTGTACACATTGTATTCTGTGTTGTAATTGAAATCAATATGTTTGAAAGTGTTGGAAAAATTCAAAATCTTGTTCTATCCTTTTAGAGAACAATTAAAACCATGATTAATCACAATTCAAAATATTTAATACAGGCAGTCCCCGAGTTACTTGTTCTATCCTGTTAGAGAACAATTAAAACCATGATTAATCACAATTTTTTCAAGTTAGTTGTTTGAGTTAACTGATTAATCGATAGCCCTAAAATAAAAACCCCAAGCAAAAAGTAATAAGGCAATAAATAGCCCATGCCATATTTGCAACCAATGCCATCTTGTGGTACACTTAAACTTCAGCTAGCCAATAAAATTGAAATGCTTTAGCCAGGCGGTAACAGCCCATCATGATTTCTGTTTCAAAGTCAATGGGACTTTTGCTTTTGTATTTCCTAACTGTTTTTGTAAATCCCGCCCTTACGTGGTTGAATCTGAATTTTAGGAGATTAATTCAGATGCTATGTTAAAATTTTTTTTAATGTATCAATTTATTTAATGTATTGTATTTTCATTATAAAGTAGTTTTGTTTTAAACACAGATTTTTATGGCACTAAAATAAGATTTTAATATGCAATTTTAATTTCTGATTTTGGAACCATTTATGCCCAATTTTACACACCCAAATAGTTACATTTAAGATACTATCAGTTACATTTAAGTGGAATGATTGAAGTAAGCAAAGTTACTACCTGCTTAAGAATTTGCAGGATCTGGACCTTAATTTTCCGAATTTTTTAGGTTTTTTTATTATAGCAGTTTTGTAAAAATCAAATGATACTCCTAAGCATTTGTAGTTTAGCTGATTAAATGATAAAGTAAAGTTTTAGTAGCACAGGTTTTCAAACTAATTTTACAGAGTCAGTGTGATTGATGCGAGTGTTTTTTTTAATAGTCATTTAAATCAATTACTTCCATCAACCTATGTTGATGTAAAAAAAAAAAAGAACTTGCCCAGTGTCGTACAGGACTAAGAATTGAATCTTAGAGAGGTTTGCAATGGCATAATTACTCTAATTTATCACAGTACTGACCATTTTAAGAGACTGGAAATTTAAGTGTTAAATTATTTTGAGAATCTGCTTTTAAATGATTTTAGAAAAGACTATGATGAGAAAATAATGATGTAAAGATTTATATTTGTTAATATTTTTACTGTTGCTATATCATAGCAAACTTTTCTTTTCTACCTCTCCCTCTCTTCACTGTTAAACATTTCAGCTGAATTCAGGTTTATTTAACTCTGTGAAGAAGACATTTAATTCTACATCCTCTGTAGTTGCATCACCAGTAAAATCAGTCAGCAGTTCAGGTGGGTGATATTAACATTGCATTATGATTTTTTTTGTGGTAATTATTTCTTGTGATTTTTACCCTTTTTGAGATAAAGCTAATGCTATTTAATATCTATAGCAGGACAGTCAACTGAAGCCCATCAGACACCTATAATACTTGATGCCGTAGTTAATTCTAACAAAAATGAGAGGTGTGTGTTAAAAGAAGATAAAAACTCAAGTGAAGATGACTTTGTTGATGCCGGTGATCCTGTTGGTACTAATGAAAAAACAAATAGTATATTAAAAGATGTTGAAAGGTCAAGACCAGTCCCTGCTGGCATCTTTGATGCTGATGAGGATAATTACGAGATCACTGGATCACCCGTTCTTCTTGTTGAGGAAGCAGAAACATCTGTACACTTGTAAGTTGCTTCACTTGCTAAATCTACAGAAAAAATATTTAAAAATATTTTAAAATTCCAAGTACAGCAGTCTTCAGTGCCCACAGTTAAATTAAAGACAAGTGAGTATTGGATAGGGATGTGAGTGTATAACTGTGCCATTTACATGCAGGCTCTCGCCCTACTCCTGGGGAGCCAGCTGCCACCCTGTGTTGCTGCCTCCGTATCAGTGGTGTGGCAGGCGGGAGCTGGTCCACGCAGGGGATCCCTCCTTCCCGCTCTCTGCGCTGCTGCCTTTGTATCATAGGCAGCAGCACAGGGGAGGGGAGAGGCGACTCTGCAGGAGCCAGTACTTGTGGGGAGCTGGCTCCCAGGGTGCACTGGCTCCTGGGGAGCTACCTGCTGCCCCGCACTGCTGTCTCTGACATAAAAGAACTTAATGTTTGACTCTACATCAGTGTGTCATGGAAATAGAAATGTAGCTTTGCTAAAAAAAAAAAAATCACCTGGAAGCCTAAATTTTAAGTTGCTTGCTAGAATATTTGATCTGAACTTTATGACATTTTCTTTAAAAAGTTATTAAAATATGATCATGTAAACTGGAGAAACTTAAAGTCCATTTAGAGATTAATAGTATCAGATCTAAAAACTATTTTCTTATATGTAGATTAAGTCTTGATGAAAAAGCAACTTCAGCAATTATGGAGAGACAGACGGAAATTCAAAGGTCGGAAGGTCCCCAGGTAACAACACAAGAGAAGATAGTTCCAGAGAAAAGAACAAAATGTTCTTCTGTACCTTCTGAACAGAAAAAGAAGTCGCTTTCCTCAGCATTCTTGATGGCTGTGACAACAGGAACTGATGAAAAAAGGTGCAGTGAAGTAAAACTTATTTAGCAAGTAATTAACATAGTCTGAACATAAGAATGGCCGTACTGGGTCAGACCAAGGATCCATCTAGCTCAGTACCCTGTCTGCCAACAGTGACCAATACCAGATGCCCCAGAGGGAGAGAACACAACAGGTAATCCTCCCGTGATCCCTTCCTTGTCACCCATGTGGAGACAAACAGCGGTTAGGGACACCATTCCTACTCATCCTGGATAATAGCCATTGATGGACCTAACCTCCATGAATCTATCCAGCTCTTTTTTGAACCCTGTTAAAGTCCTAGTCTTCACCACATCTTCTGACAAGAAGTTCCACAGGTTGACAGTGTGCTGAGTGAAGCAAAACTTCCTTTGTTTGTTTTAAACCTGCCGCCTATTAATTTCATTTGGTGACCCCTTATATGGTGGGAATAAATAAATAACTTTTCCTTATTCATTTTTTTTACACCAGTCATGATTTATTGGCCACTGTGGGCAGACAGAATACTGGACTGGATGGACCATTGGTCTGACCCAGTATGGCCCTCTTACGTTCTTATTCTATAGGCCTCTGTCATATCCCCCCTTAGTCTCCTCTTTTCTAAGATGAAAAGTCCAAATCTTTTTAATCTCTCTTCATATGGGACCCGTTCCAAACCCCTAATCATTTTTCTTGCCCTTTTCTGAACCTTTTCCAATGCCAATATATCTTTTTTGAGATGAGGTGACCACATCTGTATGCAGTGTTCAAGATGCAGGAGTACCATGATTTTATACAAAGGCAATAAGATATTCTTTGTCTTATTTGCTATCCCTTTTTTAAAGATTCCTAACATTATTTGCTTTTTTGACTGCCGCTGCACAGGGAGTGGATGTTTTCAGAGAACTATCCATAATGATTCCAAGATCTCTCTCTTGAGTAGTTGTAGCTAAATTAGTCCCCATCATATTGTATGTATAGCTGGGATTATTTTTTCCAGTGTGCATTACTTTTCATTTATCAACATTAAATTTCATTTGCTGTTTTGTTGCCCAATCACTTAGTTTGGTGAGATCTTTTTGAAGCTCTTCACAGTCTGCTTTGGTCTTAACTATCTTGAGCAGTTTGGTATCTGCAAATTTCGCCACCTCACTGTTTACCCCTTTCTCTAGATCATTTATAAATAAGTTGAATAGGATTGGTCCCAGGACAGACCCTTGGGGGGGACTTCACTAGTTACCTCTCTACATTCTGAAAACTGACCATGTATTCCTACCCTTTGCTTCCTATCTTTTAACCAGTAATCAGTCCATGAAAGGACTTTCCTTCTTATCCCGAGACAATTTACTTTACTTAAGAGCCTTTGGTGAAGGACCTTGTCAAAGGTTTTCTGGAAATCTATGTATATTATATCCACTGGCTCCCCCCTTGTCCACATGTTTGTTGACCTCCCTCAAAGAACTCTTGGAGATTAGTAACTCATGACTTCCCTTTACAGAAACCATGTTGACTTTTCCCCCCAACAATTCTTTTCATCTATGTATCTGACAATTTTATTCTTTACTGTAGTTTCAACTAATTTGGCCAGTACTGATGTTAGACTTACTGGTCTGTAATTGCCAGGATTACCTCTAGAACCCTTTTTAAATATTGGTATCACGTTAGCTATCTTCCAGACATTAGGTAAGTAAGCTGATTTAAAGGATAGGTTATAAACCACAGTTAATAGAGCTGCAATTTCCCATTTGAGTTCTTTCAGAACCCTTGGGTGAATGCCATCTAGTCCCGGTGACTTGTTACTGTTAAATTTATCAGTGTGTTCCAAAACCTCCTCTAACGACACCTCAATCTGTGACAATTCCTCAGATTTGTCACCTAAAAAGAATGGCTCAGGTTTGGGAATCTCCCCAGTATCCTTAGCCGTGAAGACTGAAGCAAAGAATTCATTTAGCTTCTCCGCAATGACTTTATCATCTTTGAGTGCTCCTTTAGCATCTCAATTGTCCAAGGGTCTCACTAGTTGTTTAGCAGGCTTCCAGCTTCTGATGTACTTAAAAAACATTTTGCTATTACTTTTTGAGTTTTTGGCTAGCTGTTCTTCAGATTCCTTTTTGAAGTACTGTAGCAACAAATTTAAACCGTATTAAAGCAATCCACCTCATTAGTAAAAATAATCAGAAAAATGTAAATGAATGATAATGGTAATTGGAAATAATAGCAGTCAAAGTGCTTTTAAGGTGCCCAAAATCCACAATTGATGAAAAAGGTCATACTGGTTAAAACATGGATCAACTTTTGAAGGGAAATGAAGGCCGCTATAAAATGTGATATTAACTTCTCCTTACTTCCATTTGTTATATAGTTGTGAATATAAATCAGAATGTAGGAATGGTAGAAAGTTGATAAAGGAAGCGAAGGATATAAAGAAGAAATATATGGCCATCAGAGTTAAGGACATGCTTGGAAAAAAGTCCTAGAAATGGTGTATTGATCAATTTATATAAAAATGGTAGAATTATTAGCAGTAATGCAAAAATGGCAGAAGTGTACAATACATATTTCTGTTCTGTATATGGGGAAAAAGCAGTTGTAGTCCATGAATGCTAACATTATTTCCTTTCCATTCAGTCTTACTGTGGCTTTTCCCCTTTATTCGGCTTTGGTGAGGCCACATCTGGAGTATTGTGTCCAGTTCTCGGCCCCCCACTACAAAAAGGATGTGGACTCATTGGAGAGGGTCCAGCGGAGGGCAACCAAAATGTTTAGGAGGCTGGAGCATAGGATCTATGAGGAGCGTCTGAGGGAGTTGGGCCTGTTTAGTCTGCAGAAGCGAAGAGTGAGGGGGGATTTGATAGCAGCCTTCAACTTCCTGAAGGGAGGTTCCAAAGAGGATGGAGAGAGGCTGTTTTCAGTAGTGACAGATGGTAGAACAAGGAGCAATGGTCTCAAGTTGTGGTGGGAGAGGTCCAGGTTGGATATTAGGAAAAACTATTTCCCTAGGAGGGTGGTGAAGCACTGGGATGGGTTACCTAGGAAAGTAGTGGAGTCTCCATCCCTAGAGGTATTTAAGTCTTGGCTTGACAAAGCCCTGGTCGGGTTGATTTAGTTGGAATTGGTCCTGCCTAGAGCAGGGGGCTGGACTTGATGACCTTCTGAGGTCTCTTCCAGTTCTGATTCTACGATTCTATGATATGATTCCAACTTCCAACCATTCAACTGTAGTGTTTCTAACAGCTTTTTTTTACCATTAGTGTCTTAGGAGGATGTTAAACAGAGCTACTAAAGCTAGACACAGTTTTAAATCAGTAGGTGCAGATTACTCTCACCCAAGAGTTTTAAAAGCTGGCTGAGCAGATTGCTGGACCATTAATGCTGATTTTCAATAATTCGTGGAACACTGGGGAAGTTCCAACAGACTGAAAGAAAGCGATTGTTGTGCCAATATGTGAAAAGGACAAATTGTACAGGTGCACAATGCTCAAATTATTGGTGATTTTCACCAGATATTATATAGTTGGTAAATAACCTAAAACATTCTAGGCATGTATCTTTCTTTCAATATTTTGTTTCATTCATTTTCAAAACTATTTTCTTTATTTTCTGAACCAAATTACATGAGAAAACAACCCTTTTTTGTACTTTTATCCTTAGGCATTCAAGCTTAATACCACCAGCATCACCTTCTCCTGTAAAAGATTTAGATTTAGGAATGGAAGATGAGTGTGAGTTTCTAATTGATGAATCAGATGGTTTTTCTTTTACATCCTGGTTTTCAATTCCAAAAAAGAACAAAAAAGTAGAGAAACAGGCTTTAGCAAAGCCTGTGCCAAAACCTCAACCTTCTGAAAGGAAAAAGGCAGTTGTACGAGAAAGCAAGAAACGCAAGGATAGAAGGGCACAGAATGAAGTAACCGTTAAACAGACTCGAATGGAACAGTCGAAAATGGATCCATGTAATGTTGCTGAAGGGATACAAGACGAGTCACAAAATTCTTTGGATGTAAATCTAGTTTTGACTGAAAAAAAGGAAAATACTCTTAAATCTGTAAGGCAAAGCGGTCCTCACATAGGTAAGTCATTTAGAAAAAAACAATCGAGGTAAAGAATCATTGGATATTTATACTTGCAAAGGCAAATGTTGATAATTGAATTATGACTAAAAAAAACCCTTAGCAATAGAGCTTTTTCTACCTTTGATTTGCCTGTTCTTAACTGAATTTTTTGTTTTGGTTTAAAATGATGCTACTATTAATGATCTCTTTGGGAATGTTTTGATTTATTCCAGGGGATGCTTTATTGGGCAACAGAGGAAAATATTCTTAGGTCCCCTTCTTTCTGAGTATTTTTATGATTATTCAACAGTTGGAAGGCAAATTGGGAGACCTTTGACTGAGATGGAGGGATCAACTGAGAAATGTGCGGTGTGTGCATATGGCAGTAAGAGAGGCAATAGTGTGGTGCTATCGGAAGGTAGCAGTGATTACTTGCTTCCATATTTTCAAGGCAAATAAGGAAGACTGTAACATCTGTGTTTCACTTCCAACTTTGTGGGAAGGAGTTAGAGATATTTCAGTAGGAGGGTGGTGAAGTACTGGAATGGGTTACTTAGGGAGGTGATGGAATCTCCATCCCTAGAGGTTTTTAAGTCCTGACTTGACAAAGCCCTGGCTGGGTTGATTTAGTTGGGATTGATCCTGCTTTGGGCAGGGGGCTGGACTCAATGATCTCCTGAGTTCTCTTCCAGCCCTAAGGTTGTATGACATGTGTTGTGTCTGCAGGGAATCAGCATTTAAGTGACAGTGAGACAGAGCTACAAGGAATAGCGGGATAGAGCTAATTAACAGGAAGAGTTTAAAGTTGACGGGGAAGCAGTTGAGTGAGGATAAAAGTTGCGGCAACTTTTTCTAGATTAAGGCTCAGTAGGTGAACTAAATGTGGTACACTGAATATTTACAACTGTATGCAGAGTACACATCAGAAGGTGCTGCTTCTGCTTTTGGAGCCTTAAGTAAAAACCACCCACCAGAGAAAAATGTGTGGATGATATTTCAGTTGTTAATATAATATAGTTTTGTGTATATAAATTATTCATGCAGTTTTTTAAAAGGAAATGAATTAATATGTGCTTTTTTGTATGTTGGCAGAAGAGAGTAAAAAGCATACGCATGGACAGAGATCCACAAGAACCCCAAATGAAAAAAAGTCCCCGGTCCTGAAACAGATACAGCCCAAAAAATTCACGTTTTTAATTTCCGAATCAGACACAGAGACTTCCGATACAGAACAACATAAGCCAACAGAAATAGCTCATGAAGATTCCTTTGGACCTTGTAATACTACTGAGCAGCCTCAAGAAAAGATTGCATCTTCAGAAGAGGATCATAGTTCTCCAGAACCTCCCCGCTCTATTTTAAAAACTGCTCTATGTTCATCCCACAAAAAACAAACTGCTAAGCAGAAACTTTCAAAAGTTGCATCGTCTAAAAAACTGGTAGAAAACCAAAGAAACAAAGTTAGAAAATCTGCCCTTAAATCCACTAGTAGAAAAACAAGGGTGCTAATCTCAGGGGAGAGTTCTGACAGTGAGCCTATAGAGGAGGTCAACGAAAGGGAGCTTTTAAAGTCAAACAAAGTCAATGCCCCTTCATTGCAACAGGAATCACAGACTCCCATATTACATAAATCCCATCAGTCCGTCAAACTTAAAAATGTCATTCATTCACTAGAATCCTCTGGTAATGTATATATCAAAACTCCTGCAAAATCTAAAGAACCGTTACAGAATCTCATAAACTATCCAGAGAATACTGGTGAAAGGAAAAAAGCCTCCGCTAAATCTCTGCAGCAGACAGCTACTCAAATTAATCAAAGAACAGATATGATTGATTGTTCACATTCTGAAAATGCTGAACTTGGGAATACTACAGTTCACAAGGATTCTTCTGACCAGAACATGGCAGAACAAAAAGACAAGAAGTCAAATGCATCTGTGAAAACAAAATACAAAAAAAAGAGTAATGCCTGCCGATCACAGTAGGTTTTTTTTTAAATGAATATACAATACAATGTAATTGTTCATTAAACATTTTCTGCCAATGGTACATCATTATTAAGTAATTACAATATGCAATACAGTTATAACTCCATAAGTAAGTAATAAGCAGATAAATGAAGTATTATAATTAAAAAGCTGTTACGAACCATGGGCTGACATCCAGGATTTTGTTGCAATGGGAGCCTAATGCTCTGTCTTATGATGTTGTAGTACCAGATTCAGACAGTGAATTTTATATTATCGTGTAGTTTCTGTGAAATTAATTTTGAAGTGTAAATATTTAGAATAAGGTATAAAAGGGTATTTTTTTAATTACTTCATGATTTTCTAAATTTTTTATTGTCTTGTGTACCTGTACTTTTAAAAACAACGAGAAGTCTCGTGGTATCTTAAAGACTAACATTTGTTTGGGCATAAGCCTTTGTGGGCAAAAACCCATTGGGTTAGTCTTTGAGGTACCACAGGACGACTTATTGTTTTTGCAGATACAGACTAAGGGTATGTCTACGCAGCAACATTATTTCGAAATAACATAGTCCACGTGTACGCAGCTGGCAGTTATTTTGAAATAATGTCGAACTACTGTCAAGCTGGAGGACTTCTTACTCCGACTCTGTCCATGGAGGCCTGGGCTGGCTGTTGACAGAGGCTGCTCTGGCAGAAGGCCCTGTCCGTGGTGGATCTGAGCTCCCCGCAGACAAAGGCTGCTCCAGAGCCCCTGCAGGGAAGGGAGCTTGGACCCTCTGCAGACGGGCTGCTGCCATGAAGCAACCTGTCCGTGGGGAGCCGTGGGCAGAGCTTGCTTTGCAGCAGCCTCCCTTGCCCTTTCCCCTCACCCTGTGCGGATGGTTTTGGTAGAGGCAGCAGGAGACAGCTGTACCGGTGCTGGGGGAACTGGCTTTTAAGCTGGCTCCCCTCAGCACCAGCTCCTGCTTCCCCCTCCTTGCTGATACAGAGGCAGCAAGGGGGGGGGGGAGCGGAATTGGAGTAGTAGAGAAGATTAACTGATAAGCCTAGGCTTATCGGTTAATCATCTATTCGACCACTCGTTTACCTCCCTAGTCCAAAAAAGGAATCTGTTACTTTGATCAATTATTTTTATCAAATGTAGTACATGTCCTATTTACTTTTGAACAATATTTGCTTTCAGTGAAGTTAGTACTAATTTATGATTTGTTGTTATAGCTGAAGAAGCCTCTCTCTGATTCAGACAAATAACTTCTGCCCTCTAATTTTATATCCGTATTCTTCTAAAACTCCTTCCATATGCCCCTCCATGTTATGAAGAATTACTAACTTTCAGTAACAAAATACAGGACTATGTAGCACTTTAAAGACTAACAAGATGGTTAATAATAAACCATCTTGTTAGTCTTAAAGTGCTACATAGTCCTGTATTTTGTTTCAGCTACACCAGACTAACACGGCTACATTTCTATCACTAACTTTCAGTAAGATTACTAACCATTGCATCTTTTCTAGGATCTCTCCTGCACCTGAGAGAAACAAGAGTCATAGCAGGTAATTTCCTTTATTGTGTGTAGAATTGCCTTTTTAATATTTCTTAGCGCTAGGAACAGTAGCAGGGTTGCAAAACCTTCTCACTAGATAAATGAGCCATCACCAAGATTTTGCTTTTTTTTCCCCTCTAAGACTCATTGCCTTGGTCCCAAATCAAATAGGCATGGACCCAGCTGCCACTCACTTCCTTCCCCTAAAGCAAGAATAGAATAAGGCTCTAGAGCAGTGGCTCAGTGGCTCCAGTTACCTTTGCAGTTGTTTAGCTAGAAAGGTTTGTGTGGCGACTTGCTTCTAGGTCAGGAGTCTCTTGAGGGCAAGTGCAAAACTTTCTCTTTATGGCTGTTCTGGGCTTCTAGTGGGTCCCAGCTGCTTATCAATCAGACATTTCTGTTGCTTGGACAAAATGGTCTGCCAAGTCCATTGCATTACTTACAACGTGCTGAGGGCTTCTATAGGTACCACGCCATCCAAGCCCCTCAAGTACAGACATTCTGCCTACGAGTGTAAGTGACTAGTTGACTAGTCAACTCTCCGATACACATATGTTTATCAGATAGTCGACTGGTGATTCGACTAGTCGCTTCCTCCCCGCCCGCCTTTGCTGCCTCTATCAGAGAGAGGCAGCAAGGTGGGAGAGCAGGAGCTGGTGCTGGGTGGAGCTGGCTTAAAAGCCGGTTCCCTCCAGCACCGTCTCTGTGGGGGGTGGGCAGAGGCGCAGCGGGTAACTGGCAAGTTACATTTCAAAAATGTACATTGCTTGCTACATTTCAAAAGCAGAAGTGCCATGGGGAGTAAGGGAGACTCAAGCAATCCCCCACTGGCCCCGTGCTCCCCGCACACTTTGCTTTTGAAATGTACAAGAAGGGCTCTTGTACATTTCTAATGCAGAGGTGCCCTTATCGAGTAGTTGATGGAAATTCCATCGACTCTTCAATTAGTTGATTAATCTAAATGTAACATCCCTAGTTCTGCCACTCCAATTCTACAGATATTTTCATAAAAATTAAATTCAAATACTAGATGTGGTTTTGTTCCCATTTCCCCATACTAGTTTGCAAATGTACAGTGGAATGTCTGCTTCTATTTTGACTGCCTCTTTTCTTCTTCCCTTTTTTATGGTTGCTATTACATTGACAAACATTTAACATTTTGTCCTTCTAAATGTCAATACATGATGAAAAACACTTTGAAATTTGATACAGTTGGTTTTGTAATGTTATTTTTCATAAATTGCATTTTCATGCAGATGCTATTTTTTTTTTAAAGTGGGCCTGTACTGAACCGTTATGTAAAATTTACTTCAAAAAATGCCGAACCTATTGCATATGAATGGGAAGATTCATCTTCAGGTAAGGTTTAAAGGTGTCAGTTCCTTTTTTATATGCATGAGAATATTGCAGATTTCATTTAAAGTTCTTAAAATGCTACTCAAGTATCATGAAAAGTTTATTCAGTATCATGAAAAGTGTCAGAAAACCCAAGTGGCTGCAGGTTTATTCTTTGCTCCCCTGGGATCATTCATGAATCTGCTAACTTATGCATATTAGTGCTTTTTTTCTTCCAAAATTGGGTTTTACCTGTTTGGGGAATATCTTTGGTTTATAATGATTATATAATTATAATGAGGCTGAATGAGGTCAGAGTCCTGGCAAGGGTGGTGGTGGGAAATAGCATGTGATCATGGTGGTCATGAAATTCTATATTTCTCCATTGTGGTGATTTTATACTGCATTTTTCAGATAAATCTATGGTCTTGAAGGATCAGGCAAGTGAATTTTTGCCAAATTCACTAGGGCATAAACTAGGTAAGGTTATTTTTTAAAATTCCTTTATGTACATGCATGAAACTAGGTTTTCAATTTTGCAGTAAGCTATTATGTCCAATAAAGACCCACAAAGCTCTTAGGGGAAAATACATGTTAATTTTATCTTTTATACTATGGTAGTATGCTAATCCCGATTACATTCTGGTCCATTGTGCAAAACATAGAAAGGTGCAGTCCCCAAGAGCCTACAGTTAAGATGAAAACATGCTAATGGTGGGAGAATGGAATATAACACACAGAAATGGTGGTGATAGAGATAGGCAAGACTTGTTAGTTCAGTCTTCTAAAAACAGAATTAACTCTTGTCTAATTTTAAAAATGAATTTAAAGTTTGACCGTTTACATATAAAGCTATGTAAAATAAATTCTGAATGTTCTCTTTTGGTTTTCTCTTTAGCCTAATTTCTACTGATAGTTTCTGGATTCATTTTATCCAATGTGAATTGTTTTTTTCTTTAAATCTGTTCATTAGTAATGCCATCCCACACACCCAATGTTCGTCGGACAAAAAGAATAAGACTAAAGCCTTTGGACTATTGGCGAGGGGAGCGTGTGAACTATCTGTCGAGACCGTCAGGTATTGTTTCTAAATACATACCTGGTTGCCTTCAATTTTAATTCTGTGCAATATCTTTTGTGTCATATTCATTAAACAGTAATCAGTGATATATCTGTGGCCTCAGGCTATGGTTCTCATTTTTTTCTCAGTTTCACTTTCATTTGCTCCATGAACCCATTAAGTATTCTTCTCCTTACAGTATTTATAACTAGAAATAATGTCATAAGAGATTGCTACACACCCTCAGAAAGCTAAACTGCCCATTCTCTGTTTCTCTGTGTTAATGCTATATTTCTAAAGAGAGGGAATAAAGTGATTTCTGCAAATCTGTATTCTCATACAATACAGATTCATAATAATAAGAGAAGGAAAAAACCTATTAGGCTGACTCTGTTCCTTCTTGCAATGCAAAATTATTATTCTGTATCTATTCTAATTCATCTAGTCTAATTTTAAATGCCATAAGGAATGGAATCCATCTCACTGGCTCTGCACTTCAACCTAAATTTTGCCTTAATCACATTGTCTGTGATTGCATTACATTTTTCCAATAATTGACTCGTCTTGATTAAATATCACATACCCAGCAGGCCAGATTTTCAAAAGAATTCAGCCTTATTTGTTCTCGGGGGAGCTGCTCAATCTTGAGGGTTGTTTATTTATTTTAAAAATTGGCTACTTGCTTTTGGTGTCCTGTATGGTCCTATGCAATTTTGAAAAATCAGCCTCAATTGTGCTGAGCTCTTTTACTAGGCCACGTATCTTAGCTTTTAGTCTTTCTGGATCAATCAATCCTCCATGATTCTTGATTATTTTTCTTCCTTATAGAATCATAGAAATGTAGGACCGTAAAGGCATGTCTTCACTACCCGCTGGATTGATAGGTAGTGATCGACCCACTGGGGGCAATTTATCACATCTACACTAGTATAGACATGACAAATCAACTGCCAGGTACTCTCCTGTACTCCACCAAAGCGAGACGAGTAGGCTGAGTTGATGGAAGAGCATGAGCATGTAGCCGCAACGATTTTTAGTGGTTACACGGTTACTAAAATGCTCCTCCCTGGGGCCAGAGTCAGCAGCCAGTGCAATCTCAGCTCCTGGCTCCATTCCCGGGGAGTCCCATGCTACCTTTATATTAAGGATGTTAAATTTCCGTTAATCGACTAGTTGAGTAGTCGATGGAATTTCCTTTGACTAGTTGATAGGCACTTCCTCATTCCTCCTTTGAAATGTACAAGAGCCCCTGCTGGGGCTCTTGTACATTTCCAAGGAGGAATGCGGAACACCGCATGCATCCCGGGGCCAATGGGAAGTCCTGCTGACTCTGGGCTGCACGCGGATGTGCCTGCTTCTAAATGTACAAGAGTCCCCAGCGGGGGCTCCTGTGCATTTCAAAGCCACAGTGCACTCATGGAACCTGGGGTCAACGGAGGACTCAGAGTCCCCTGCTGTCTCTGGGCTCCATGCTGCGCTGCATGGCGCACGGAGCCCGGGATCAGCTGGGGAGTCTCAGTTGATCCCGGGCTCCATGGCGCTGCCCCTCTGTAATGCCAAAGTGGCATTTCAAAGGGGCAGCTGCCTCACAGTTGATTCTTGGCCAGCTGTGTGGTGCTGCCCCTTTGAAATGCCTAGGCTGGTTGAGTGTCGTCCTCCCATTTCCTTCTTTCCTGCTCTGGCTCCTCTTCTCTGCTGCATGGGATTTACACAGGATAGGAAGCAAAGCTGAGAATCAAGAGAAAGCTCCTAGCTGCCCAGATTTTGGGGTCTGTGCACTGCAGTGTGGATGCCAGAGCCCTAGATTCAAGCTCAGGTTAGAAAATTCTCAAGCGAGGAATAAAATGCGAGTGGGTGGGCACTGTGGAAGTTCCAGGCAGGAGTGTGCTTCTTCGGGGATGTTAATTCTCTCTCTTGCAGCAAGTGCTGAATTCCACTGCCCTGCAGGTAGTTACCGGAGGTGGAACGAAACTGAACGGGTCTCTGGAAAGTGGGGCTAATACACAGCTGTAGTCCAGTCATCGATTCTACCCACAGCTATAGACTCACATTGGAGAGTTGTGGGTCTAGACTTGAGAGAGAATTTTAGTTTTTCCCAAATGCCTCTGGTTGTTTCACAAAAGGCAGTTAAAAAAAGAAAAAAAGGGTTCAAACAGTAAATTCTGAACCTCACTGTTTTAAAAAATTAATAAGCTTTTTCATAAAAAATGTTAAAATGCCGACTATGCAGTAATATTTGTTTCTTTTCTTCTATTTCAGGAGGGTTTGTAGTAGGTGGAATAACATACCCTAAAAAGGAATCATGCAGGGAGGCTAAAAAAAGGAGAAAACATACGCCAAAAACAAGTACAAACTCCTTAAAACTTTGTTTTTTATTTCTATAGCAGTATGGAGCAGTGGTTCAGATTATGTACACCCCTCAGAACTTCTTTGGGGGGGAAATATTGTAAGAAATGTAATTAATGTTAAAACACATTAATATGAATTAAAACTAATGTTAGTATAGGCAAGAAAATGAGCTTTAAAACATTGGTTTGGACCAATCTTAGATTAACAAGAACTTCATGTGGTGGGAAAGGAGGGGCTATTTGAGGGAATCTGAGCATGATTATAAACTCAGAGCAATGAGTAAAGAAGATGAATGCAGTTCTGTCCTTAATCAGTCTGTTGGTTCGATGATATAAACTAATGTATGCATGCATCCCTTTTATATGAAGGTTGGCGACTGTAACTACCAAATGTTTTATGAACACAAGCAACCAATGTCGTCCCGAAAGGCAGTGCACAAAGGTCTTACTTAGACAGGGGAAACACATTGTGATACACAACATGTTGGCTAGCCTGTTTTAACTAACGTAACGTATAATGATTTTGCCCTCAGTAAAGATGAGGACAGTTGCTTTAAGAATGTTAGCTGGTTGTGCTGATAAGACCAGTATAGTTCTTGTCTATACTGAAGATGGTAGTGACTGACTTCATTTCCCATGACTGAGTTGGTCTACCGATGATCACTTAGAGCCAGAGAACCATACTCCATCCCAGTCAAGAAGCTGGCTTCTTGTCAATCAACCATCTGATAATGGGTATAATTCCAGAAGCCTGATATTTCTGAGCAGATGCATAGAGACTTTTTACTTTCTAGAATGGAATCTATTAGGGAAAAAATATAATTTGAATTTGGAAAAAAATGGTCAGTTAGGGCAGATAGGCCTCCACTTAAAATGCTTTAAAATGCCCCAGACGAAACTCTATAAAGACTTTCACTTGTAAATTTGAGTTGAAAACCCATTTACTAAATGTCTCCTGGGCAGTAATTTTGAACTATAATGAAATCACTGAAAAATGATGAGATTCTACAGTCTGGAGAGGATCATGTCACCGTTTAGCTGAGGTGGAGTGGCTTTGTTTCCAGCCTTAGATTTGTCCTTGTGTAGGAGATCTGAAAAGCTGCCATGTGGTATTCTCTATGTATTTATGAAGCATTACGGGTTGCATTTGACGTTAAGAAAGAAATCCAGGTTCTGTTGGCTTGTAGGTATTACTCCCCATTTATAGAATGCCCAAACTGTCCTGCCTCTTCGAGTTTTTGTGAGATTTGGGATATCTTTCTTTAGTTTGTTTACCTTCACTCCTCCTGAAGGTTTTTCCTTAGAGGAGTCTTAATTTTCTGTATTTTGCAAACAGTTACACTGACTTCCTGACATTTGGCTGTTACCTTCTCTGATCAGACCTATTTTTTATTTTAGAAATTTCCCTTGAGATTTTAGTCTCCAAGGGTGTGTCTAGACTACAGGGTTTTGTCGACAAAAGTGGACTTTTGTCGACAAAACTATACCTGCGTCCACACTACTGCTGAGTTCTGTCGACATAACATCGACAGAACTCAGCAGTTTTGTCGACGCTGGTAAACCTCATTTTACGAGGCATAACGCCTTCTGTCGACAGAGTTTCTGTCGACAGAAGGTGTTATTGCATGTAAACTTCCTCTTCTTTAGAAGATGACAAGATCTTCACTTGGGGTACGTCTAGACTACAGGCTTCTGTCGACAGAAGTTTTGTCGACAAAACTTCTGTCGACAGAAGCCTGTAGTCTAGACGTACCCCAAGTGAAGATCTTGTCATCTTCTAAAGAAGAGGAAAACCTTCACTTGTAATAGGGTTTTTTTTCTATATAGGCTTCATCTTTCAGTATTCCATCTGTCACCTCCATCAGAATTTAAGGGGAAGGCTTTTTTCAGATTTCATTACATTTTTGAAATTTGAAGTGGCTTCAGGGACTCCAGTGTTTTTAAAGTAGCAAATGACCTTAGAATGTAGATGTTCTTAGGTATGTATTTGTTATTGTTGTAACAGGAGCAGTTATCAGTGTTCTAGGGAATCTCTGTGTGTTTTGCATAACAAGAGTAACTTCTCTAAAAAATGGTAGCTTCAGACGATTAGTATCACAGGTAATTCCCATTTATTAAAGGAGTAGTCTTTTGACCTGATGGAATGTTTAAAATCTGGGAAACTATTTAAATCCATAACTACGCATTTGAATTCTAAAATATTTGAGAAATGAGAATGGCATAACATTACCTCTGGTTGGTTTAAAAACGTACAGTGATGAGTGTTTTTTACACTTTTCTTTTGCAGGGAGTCATGTTGAACATCTGAATATCTCCTTAGCAGATGCTTCTAAGCCAACTGTTGTATGGGACCCAACAGTTAATGGAGAGGTTTTACAAGGTAGGTTGCTGAAGTGATACGACTGAGTTCTGAGAGAGTCTGTGACAAGTTTGCAGAATTTGCTCCTCCTTTGGGGTCATACAGGGAAGTACGCTGATCAGGGCTTCCTCCGCACATCTAAACTCTTGAGGGGCTGAGACATCCCTCTTCCTTCCTCATGCAGAAGTCAGGGGAGCCAGAGAAGGAGAAAAAGCAAGAAAACCTCACAGTACTCTAGAATGTTTGTCTGCTGCTGAGCTTACTACTTTGAATCTTACAACAATATGATTAAGAAATTGGAGGCTGTACTGTTCTAATGACTAAAATATTTTATACACTGGATATTGTTGAGCTTCTGCCAATTTTATTTTTCTGTAGAGTGTGTTAACACTGGACGTAATCATTCTTGTTTCTTTAATGATGAATCAGTGGAAATCTATAAAAACCTGAATACATCTGGCTTTGCTGCTGGTAAATTGATCTTGAAACCACTTAAGGAAAAGGGGCATCAGTTTGTCCACACAGATAAAATAGTGAGTACATCTGTTTCCTTATATCTACTTGTATAGCAAAATATCATGTACTGAAAGGCTTTTCTACTTTAAAGACCTATTTAGTGTTGTTAGAAGTACTTCACTATTTGAAGGTAATGCTGTATTTGTAACTTTTATTACATGTTTTCTTAAAGAAATACATGCAGAAAACATGTTAATGAAACATTTAAACTGTAGAATCAAGCACTGAAAGTAAGGGAATTCACGAAGTTAAATTTTGCTGTACAAAAGGAACTCAGCCACATGGCACGCACAATAACCTTCCTATGTTCTTCATTATATTGTTAATAAATACCATAAAATGTAGGCAGCAGTGTAAAAGTCTTAGTATAGGAGAAAACTTTACATTTCAAATACCTGTCTATTACATTCTGGCTTTCACAATCATAATTTACAGTGGGGTAGGGAGAGTGATGAAAGGATTTGGGGACTTAATGTTTTTTTTGGGGGGGGGGATGGTGTTAATTTGTATTTATACACAAAATTTTACTGGATAAAAGGGGAGAAATGTTCAGCAATAAAGGATTTTTTTTGTTAGTCCTACAAATATTTTGCAATGAAAATACCTCACTAATGGTAGAATATTTGCTTTTTATTTAATTTCTGAAGGCTTTCCATGTTATCCATGGCAAGATTATTGTTACCCTTCATAAGACATCCTACTATCTGACTACAGGAGATTTTTTCTATGTTCCGGAGGGTAGGTACATTTTAAAAATACCTTTTTGCAAAAGGACCACGTAAAGGGAGAGCGTAAGTGGGGGTAACTAAGCTGAAGAGGGGCTAGAAGAAAGATAGGGAATAATTCATAGAATCATAGAATACTGGAACTGGAAGGGATCTCTAGAGGTCCTCAGTTCCAGTCCCCTGCCCTGATAGGAGGACCTAGCACCATGTAGACCATCCCTAACATGTGTCTGTCCAATCTGCTCTTAAATACCTCCACAGATGGAGATTCCACAACCTCCGTAGACAATTTATTCCAGTGTTTCACCACCCTGACGGGCAGGAAGTTTTTCCTAATGTCCAACCTAAACCTCCCTTACTGCAATTTAAGACCATTGCTTCTTGTCCTATCCTCAGAGGGCCACCTCCTTGTAACACTCTTTTAGGTGCTTGAAAACTGCTATCATGTCCCCCCTCAGTCTTCTCTTTTCTAAACTAAACAAACCCAATTCCTTCAGCCTTCCCTCATAGCTCATGTTCTCTAGACTGTTAATCATTCTTCTTGTTCTTCTCTCGACCTTCTCCAATTTCTCCATATCTTTCTTGAAACGTGCTGCCCAGAGCTGGACACACTACAGGCAGTCCCCGGGTTACGTACAAGATAGGGACTGTAGGTTTGTTCTTAAGTTGAATCTGTATGTAAGTCGGAACTGGCGTCCAGATTCAGCCGCTGCTGAAACTGACCACCAGGGAGACGGGGGGGCAAAGCAGAGCCAAGCCGCGGAGCGCGTGGGCAGCGGATAACCCTGTCCGCTGCCCGCGTGTTCCACCGCTTTGCTTCCTCTCCGTGGTCTGCTGGAGACCAGGGAGAGGAAGGGCCCCGTTCGTAACTGCGGGGACTGCCTGTATAAGCAGTAATAAGAAGAGATCTTTAAAAATGTTAGGAGCATGAGGAAGACATCAGAAAGTGTTAGTCTGCTTAGTGAGGAAGAAGATCTGATGACATCAAGAAGGTCTGGGAGGTTTAATGCCTATTATGCTTCAGGTTTCATTAAAAAGATTAATGGTGACCAGATATTTAATACAATTATTCACAACACGAGGGAAGAACCCAAGACAAAATAGGAAAATAACAGATTAAAGAATATTGTGATAAATTAGGTAGATTCAAGTTAGTAGTACCTGATGAAATTCATCCTGGTTACATAAGATATTAACTGAAGCAAACTTGCAAACTTGGAACCATTAGTAATTATCTTCGAGAACCCTGGAGGCCCCAGAGGACTGAAGAAGACCTGACTTTTAAAAAGAGAATAAAGAATATGTGGGAAATTACAGATCAGTCATCCTAACTTCAATACATGGAAAGGTACCAGAACAATTTATTGAACAGTCATTTTGCAAGTGCCTAGAGGATAACAGAGTAATGAGGAACAGCCAGCATGGATTTGTGAAGAACAAATCATGCAAACTGAGCTTAAGTTTCTTCTTTGACAGGGTTACTGGCCTTGTGAATAGAAAGGAAGAAGCAGACCCGTTAGCCCCAGTCTACAGTAGGGAATTCTTTCAAAATGGGGGCTGCTGCTTTGCTCCCGATGCCCCTGGTCTGCTGGAGACGGTCCCCAGCAGACCAGGGGCACCGGGAGCAGCTTTTCTCGCCCTGGAGGTCAAGGTGGCGGATCGCTGCCTGTGAGCTCCGGGGCGAGAGAGCCCCGTTCGTAAGTGCGGATCCGCGTAAGTCGGGGACTGCCTGTACTCCAATTGAGGCCTAATCAGTGCAGAGTAGAGCGGAAGAATGACTCCTCGTGTTTGCTCACAACACTCCTCTGAATGCCTTCCAGAATTCATGTTTGCTTTTTTTGTAACAATGTCACACTGTTGACTCAGATTTAGCTTGTGGTCCACTATGACCCCTAGATCCCTTTCTGCAGTACTCCTTCCTAGACAGTCGCTTCCCATTCTGTATGTGTGAAACAGATTGTTCCTCCCTAAGTGGAGTACTTTTATTTGTCCTTATTAAACTTCATCCTATTTACCTCAGGGTACGTCTACACTACAGAGGGATTTTTTTTGGGAAAAACTGCCATTTTTCTGAAAAAACTTCAATTATGTCCACACTGCAATTGCGGTCTTCTGAAAGAAAATCGAAAGAACAGAGTGGTTTTTCCTACATTGGTAATCCTCGTTCTACGAGGAAGAAGCCTTTTTCCAAAAGAGCTCTTTCAGAAAAAGGCTTCTTCCTGATAGAAAGAGGCTTACCAATATCAGAAAAACCCCTCTGTTCTTTTGATTTTTTTCAAAAGAATGAGATTGCAGTGTGGACATAAGTGAAGTTTTTTTATAAAAACAGACATTTTTCTGAAAAACTCTGTTGTGTAGACATAGCTTCAAAGTGCTCCACGAAACCTCTTTGAAGAACCTTCAAATTGGCTGCTTCGGTGTGTTTATTTACCAGCTCCGTGGGCACAGAGCCTCATGGCTATCACTGGCTCCAGTTTGCCGTTTGTAGCCAGGGAGAGCCGCAGGTAGCAGTGTGGGCTGGGCCACTGCTTCCTGTGGCTTGCCTAGGCTGCAGACATCAAACCGGAGCCCATGGGATCTGCGAGCATCTGTGGCCGTGGAGCCAGTAAATAAACACACCGGAGCGGCCAGTTAGCAGGTTTTTCAAAGTGGTTTCGTGGAGCACTTGGAAAAACATTGCTGTAGACTGAATGGCTCCATCATTTAAATCCTGCTGTTTTCACAAACACGTTGTTACAGTAATAGGTTAATTGGGTAACCTCTGATGAATTTGGGGAGAAGAACCTCATTAAGAGCTGAATGAATCCCAAAGGCAGAGAGAAGTTAATGGTCCATTGTGTGCAAGCAGTAACACAAAACAGTGTATGCTTATGTTGGTTATCTTCATGCTTCACGTGCACCATAAAGCCAAAAGCTGTGACCTTGTCTTCCATCACTCCAGAAGGACTAGTAATGTCATCTTCAACCTGTGAAAGTTACTAGCCTACCAGACACTGTTCAGTTCTTTGATCTCTTTTAGTCAGCTAAACCAGCGTGCTTATTTTAGGGTTGGTCTTTGGTTCAGTGGTACCAGTATAACGCAATGGTTGGTTAGGTATATAATACATATTTTACCCAAAGCTATGGCAGTGAAGTCCTATTGTGTGTGCAGTTGCACCCACATAAAGGTGATTTAAACCCATATAGCTATTTCAACTTCTTGGTTGTAAGTGTATACAACACTTGTATGCTGACACAACCGCATCCCCACTAGGTAGCTTGTAAGGGTATAATTAAAGTGGAACAGCTTTCCACTGTAGGCAAGGACTTAAGTTTAGGCTTTCAGTGCAATTAGTTTGCAGCTCCATCCTTTAGCAGGATTTCCTGTTTTTAGGTTAGTAGTCCCAAGCAAAGGGTCAAAGACTTCTCAGGGACTGCTGGTGACATGGTTAGGATTGGTCTTGTCCCTTCTATTGCTAGGAACAATGCAGCTTTAAAGGTCTGTTCTGAAAACCTGCAGGATTTAGTCTAAATTGCACCTGCCAGAACATCCTATGACTACAAACAGTGTTCGAGGCCTTTTTTAATAAATGCAAGCGTCTAAAGCCTCTGCTGAATTCACCATATAATTTTGAGCTAGAAAGAATGCCAGATGTCAGTACATAGTAACAGAGGGTGTCTTTAGGTGGGGTCAGTCAGTTTTTTCGTGTCTCAAACCTGGTAGTGAATAATTCTGCTTGCTCTACCTATAATTTTGGCTCTGGACTGACCTGGGACAGGGGATTGGGGTGCAGGTTTGGGGAAGGGGTATGGATGCAGGGGAGGATTCTGGCCTGTGGGCAGGGTGTAGGAAGGGCTGCATGGTCTGGGGTACAGAGGGTTTGGGTAGTAACCTGGGGCTGGAGTTGGGATGCCGGAGGGGGTGAGATGTCAGAAACGGGCTCTGCCCAGGAGGCGCTTACGTAGGTGGATCCCATCTAACAGCCCAGTGGCACCTTCAGGCAGACTCCGTGCCTGCCCCAGCCACTGAAAGTAGCGAGCTGCTCTGTTCATGTGCTCTCTGTGCTGAGCAGGGGAGGAAGGAATTTTGTGCACTGCCCCCAGCACAATTATCATGGCTTCCATTGGATGGAAACTGGCCAATGGGAGCTGCAATTATTGTTCTGGAGGCAGAGGCAGCACATAAAAACCTTCTCCCTTCCTGCCCCCCCATAAGAGGCGCCTGGCTGGAAAGCAGCCTGGGTCTGCAGCAGGCAGTGAGCCTGCCTGAGGGTCCTCTTTGGGTCCGAATCCAGCCCACAGGCTGTATTTTGCCTGCCCCTGCTCTAAGTGGATCAGAGAATAGTCAAGCTTATTCTGACTTTCATTAGTGATGATTCTGAAGGAGACAGCCAGTTCGACTAGGCTAAAGGCAGGTTTTGTGGAATGTATGTAATATAGTGACGGGATCCCTGGGGTACAACATGGAACTAGGATATTGCTATGTCCACTTAACTCTCCAGCTTGGGATAGCTGTCTCAACCCCTCCAGATGCTGTTGTCACACAGTACAGCAGCATGTGATGCCCTGCACCCTGCTAAATTGCATGAATGTTCTCTGAGCTGCTCACAAAGCACACAAAAAAGGCACCAGCATATCTCCCAAGCCCCCCGCCTTGCACCCCAGGAGTATATCATCTTGCACTAAGCAGAAGCCTGACTAGTTTAAGTTTAGCCCCGCCCTAGATGTAGAGATCTAGTGTAAGCCCCTCCCTAGATGTAGAGAGGGCCCTTTGTAAACTAAATTAAGAATTCCTAAGCACAACATTCAGGTAAAAGGTGAAACAGATTTATTGTCTAGAGAAGGATAGGTTTAAGTAATAAGTGGTCGGCACAAAAGGTCAGAGAAAGCTACAGAACAAAAAGAAAAGCAAATTCTGCAGGCTAAATCTTAAACTTTATTAGACTGGGCAGTATTTGGATCAAGCAGTTTTCCTTAGCCCACTGGATGCTGCAGGTAGGTTACAGTTCTTAATACACAGGCTTCCCCTTTATGCATGAGACCAGTCTCCTCCGTTTGAAGTTTTGTGTTCCCAAAATTCTTGTTGCTTTCAGTGTAGACTGGGTAGTGGAAAAGTAAAAGGACAATACAATGTCTATAAGAGACGTAAAAAGCTGCCACTGGAATGCTGTTCATCGCTCAGCCTAGCATCCTATTCCAGCCGTTATTGTTCAGTTAGTGCAAAGCCCTCCTTCAGGAGGTTGTTACTTCTTAGTCTCCTAAGAATAAGAATTTACAGTGACAATTTCTGAAGGGGAAAATTAGCTACTTACCTGTGACTGCTAAGATCTCTGTGTAGGGCTGCTACAGATCCATATGGAACTTCCATCCTTTTTCACTTCCTAGGGTCCATTTCCTGGTATTCTGAGTACGTGGAAAAGCATAGGCCTGTAGATCTCTTTGTAACCTCATACCAAAAGCCTTACTCTATAGGAAGTATGTGCTCCCTCACGACCTTTTAAATCAGGGGTTCTCAAGCTGGGGTTGCAACCCCCAAGGAGTTATGTGGGGGATTATAAACTGTCAGCCTCCACACCAAATCCTACTTCCCTGCCGGCATTTATAATAGTGTTAAATATTATAAAAAGTTTCAGTTTATAAGGGTGAGGAATTGCATTCAGAGGCTTGCTATGTGACAGGGATCACAGTACAAAACTTTGAGAAGCACTGTTTTAAATGGTTCTAAGCTTGTGGTGCTGTGAGAATATAAATTACTCTTGAGGGTCTGCAGATGTAACTCTTGAGAACCCTAGTTATACGTTTGAATCTCTTGATGGGATAGCCTTGATTTTTTTCCCCTCTTAGTGTGAAAATCACAGCTTTTATTAAAGTTTTCTCATTGCTGTTGAGGGCTGGTGGTCTGTCTTACACATTCCCTTCAAGACACTTCTCAATACACATTCTCTTAGTCTAACTACATCAAAGTAATTCTAGCTGCAAGGTTATTTCCTCTCTTAATAACATTTAAATTCACATTCAGACTTTGGTGACTGTCCGTTATCTTTCTTCAGAATTATGGATTAAATGCTGTTTATGTTGCTGACCTAACTTAACCTAACTGCCAGAGGGTTCAAAATGTCTACTGGAGAGTTTTTCAAAGTTAATTGATGCCCCAGCAATTTGGTCATAATGTCTATAAAATGTTCTGATGACGTTTTATTCTTTTACTCTTAGGAAATGGTTACAACATACATAATCTCCTGAATGAGGAAAGTATTCTTCTTTTCACACAGCTGAAAGGAGAAAGGTGGGGAAAATTGTACATAGAGGTTTCAGTTAAAATGCATTTCAAGTTTATATGCAGTGTGGTTTTTGGTTAACCAGTTACTCTTGAATATAAAAAGGTCTTTTATGTCCACCTGAACATTCTGTTTCTTAAAAATATACATTTTTGAACATTATACTTGTATGTATTTGAAGCCATTTTTCCACTATCAAAAACAGACACCTGAACTATGGAATTAAGAATAATTTTTTGTCAAAAAGAAGGTGATTATGATTGAGCAGCCGATAACATTGCTAACTGGAAGTAAAAGTTTTAAAAACATTATGAAACCTGTAACTTCCGAGTTGGGTTAAATGTCATCCCAAAACGGTTCTGTTAAAAATAATTACTCTAAATACACACCGACTTTTTTATAAAAATGGCTATTTTTCCTACCCACAAGAGCTTAAAGAATATGTAGTTTTAAAAATAGGTACCTTAAGCTTGACTCTTCAGTAACTTGATTTTCAAAACTGCTACTAGTGACTGCAGTTGTCATGCCCAAATTTAGAGCTTAGGAAAAAAATGATGAGAAATAGTGTGTGGCTTCCATAGTCTATACCTGTGTTTGCACTGAGACAGAGCTTTAAATCCTAATGCCAGAAAATTAAGACACTTAAAGGGTCCTTTGTACCAATTAACTCTGATCTCCTGTGTATACAGTATAAAGATCTGTGATTATGTAACAGAGAGGTAGAGGTATTAATTTTTTTAAAAAAATCGTATCTTAAATGAATTTTAAATGGTGGATGTTAGTAGAGGTTTCAGACAATGTTGAGATTTTTCACATGCACTTTTCAAATGGGAAAACCTCTGAGAAATTAGACCAATGGCAAGTTGGTATTTGGGTAAGTTTTGGACAGTATTTTTATGGTAGATTTTCTAATTTGCTTGTCATCACAGAAACCTTAGGTCTCTTTTTATCCTTCTGTCATTGGTAATAGCAATCACAATTCTCTGTCCAGCTTTGATGTCGGTGCACTGTAATGTATCCCAGGGGACAAGATGTTAGCAGAGATAAAAGTCAGCTCTGGCTACCTCTGAATGTCTTTTTGTAACAACTGTATTTTCTCTTAGCAGTTCAGTGCTTTCATCTTTCTTCCTTTTTTGAAAAAGGAAGATGAGATCTACATAATCTCTCTTGACACATCCTATGTTGCTTGACAAATTAGCTCTTATTGAAATTGGTGAACCTTCACCTCATTGGTAACCCATTTCCCTCATTCAATAACAATCTGACCGAATGCTGGACCATTTCCAGGTTGTCTTTTATATACATTGGAATACAGATTTTTATTTTTGTCATTTAGAAGTCTGATCACGCTGCGTGCTGTGTCTTCATATTTTTATCAGTTTATTTTTTAATGGCTAACATAGTTTTATTTGTCAAGTTTTAACAGAACTGATGGTCATAAAAGAAAAGAAAATACAGTTTCTCCAATACATTTTTACAGATGAAAGCATGAATGCTTAAGTTGACCATCCAAATGGTTTATAATAGTGCTTGAGGGCCTGTTACAATCCCTTGTCTGCAATCCCACCAAACGTTGAAAGTTGAAGTGGTCACAGAGAGAGTATTATTCTCTTCAGGTCTCCATGTTCCAGTGGCCCCATGAAGCTTCAGCAAACTTCTTGACTTTCAAGCCAAGAATTTTATTTATTTAAGAGGCTAAGATGGAACATTCTAGACCAGGAAAATGCAGAGATCTAAGATCTCAAATTTGTCTGTCAGCATTAGGGACGATCGAGTTTTATCAAAACAGTAATATGTGAAGGGAGGCATTGAATTACTAGGTACACTTCTGCATTGCATACTTACAAGTTTGCTGTTTTTTAAATAAGACATTTTAATTGTCTAGGTGCATATTGAAAGCATTTCTTTATGAATTTGATCTATTTATCTGTAGACCTTCACTATCAGTAAGCAGTCTGATTATTTTCATAAAATGTTTTTGTTCATTTTAACAATGAACTAAGACAATAGGAAGCCATTTTCATTGCGATTAAGCCCATTATCACAGTCAAAATGTATGTTTACCTCCAGTATTCCAGGCAGAGATAGTGTTGATGTCGATAGGTGGTTGCAGGTGTGTATTGGACGTGGGTGTGCACGTGCCCAGAGTGTCGTAGCTGGAGAACTTTGTGTAATAGCACTTGTCAAGGCACTGCATGAATCTATCGGTAAGGGGGAGCAGTGCCCTCGCGCCCAATTCCTTCTCACTTTCCACAGTCTGAGCTGGAGAACCCTGTGCAGTTTTCCTCATAGTTACTGCATCACAGATAGTTTTCTCTGTTGTTTTTGACGATTGCTAGGAGTAATTTAGTACCCACTATTTAGTTTCTATTAGTTTTAAGCAGTTGGTTTAGAAATATGGCGATATGCCCTCAAGTTTAAGCACTGTCCGTAGTGTGGGGCGATCGCCACACACTAATCGCACAGTACTTGTTGCGTCTTAATGACGGATACATAATAGAAACGTGCAGTATCTGCTGGTCATTCAAGACAGATTCCTAGAGACGTGCGTCACAGACAGCATTATGAAAAAGCCAGAAGGCCTGCTTAAACATCAGCCCCTCATGTGGCCTCCGAAGTGGCAGTGGCCTGGTATAGGCTTCTAGACTTGGACTCTTCCCCTTGGAGAATAGACTGGTTTCCTTCCTCTGGGCTTGTAAGTAAGAGAACTGACAAGACTGACTGAGGACATTCCAGCTCTGACCGTGTCTCCTCTTCTGATCATCGCTGAGACTCTCTGAGCACCCCAGACAGATCAGGAGTCTTCACCTGCTCCTTGATAATGAGGCAAACACACTAATGCTGTGCCATCGACTCTGGTGCCATGTGTGGAACAGCTGTTAAGTCCAGTACCAATGAGCTCAGTTTTGGTGCTGGCGTTGTTGGTACCAGCAATGTCACGGGCTTATGAGGCAGCAACTGACTGTGTTTTCTGTTCCAGCATCCTTCCTGGTGCATGAGTCTCTGCTATGGAGAGCAGCCAATAAGTCTGAGGGGAGTGTAGGAAGGGGCTCTGGGAACGAAAACTAGGTTCAGCTGAGGCAAAGGGTGGACGATGGGGCTAGAGCTGACCCCATAGGACGAGCAGTGGGGGAATGGTTAGGAAGACCGATGCTGAGGACGGAAGAGATGCATGCGCCTGGCGTGGGACTGGTGCAGAGACTCTCTTGGATAAAGCAGAAGGCATGGTGTGGGAACAGCCTGCATTGAAAGAACAACTCTCTGTTCTTAAATTAGAATAGTTCAGCCGCCTTATTAAAGCCACACTTCAATTGCAAAAGTCAGTTTCTGTTATTAAAGTAAAATAAAACTTTCCTCTCCTATACTGATGCCCATCCGAGTAGTTGGAGCTCCTCCCAAGACTCCGAATGACATCTCTTCCTTTCCTGTTGCTGGAAGGGCAGGCTTGGAGTCTTATCGTGGTATTGGGTATGGCAGAGCGGTGGTATGAGTAAAGATAATATTGCGTGGAAGCTTGAACAAAAAGGCAGCTTTTGCTTATGTTTTGAATGCTCTGAGGTTAATGGTCATTCTTATTTCATCTGGTAATGGGTTCTATCAGTTTGGAACGCCGTCTTGGGTCAGATGCTGGAGCGTATTCAATTGTTCTATGATTTTTAATCAACAATAATTCACTAAGTCTTTGACCACACTTCTTGCCATTCATACAACTGGAATATTTTCTTTGAGCCGTCATGAGTAGAGCACATCACTTCCCATACGATATTGAGCCTTGTGTCTGGATGTGCCATGTATTTGTTGAATATATGTTTTTCCTAATAGAATGAGTAGTCCTAATGCAGTCAGCTTCTGAAGGTTTTTGTTAGTTACCAATTCACACTCTGCATATCTGATCTTTTCCATAGGCATGTTGCCTTTTTGGCAAGGTCTGTATAAAATGTTAGCAATTTATTGACGAGAGACTATAATGTTCTCAGCACCAGAACTTTCCCAGCTATACCGGCGGATGTGTGTTAATGACTAGAGAAGAGAACAGGGAGTCAGGGCTCAAGTTTTTATTCCTGCCTCTACCATTTTCTTGCTGTGAAATGTTGGGCAAATCACCCCTCCCAGATATCTCAGCTTTCTCATTTGTAAAATGGGTATAATACTTAACTATATCACAGGGGCCATGATGAAGCTGAATGTCTAACAGGTGTTTTGAGACTTTAATAATTTGTAGACTGTATTAACCTGATGCATGCAAGGTTCTCAAAATAATCTCTATTTAAATGTGTAGCCATGCTGCCTGTTCTTCAGAGAATGTGCTGTCATCTTAAATAAACCAAAGATAATTGAGCTGCTGGGCTGGTTCTCCGTGTCCTCAGTACATCCTGTGCATTTAGATATATATGAAGCCTGCAGAATGAATGTACGGTTAGTTCTCACTATGTGGGTATTTTAATTTACCTTGCACCTTTTATCATTGTAAGTATGGCAGCTGCCCACCACATTAGAATTCTTAACATTTACCTCTACTGTCTCCATGACATCCTGGAGAGTAATGAGCACCTCTGGGAAAATCATGAACTTACAATACACTCCTGAAGCCAAGAGCCTCAATCATCAGTGAGCAACCCAGGCTAGTGAGTGGGCCAGATGAGTGGCCCTCCTTCATCTCAGCGGGATGCAAGATTGTTGTAACCAAGACAGGCTCCCGGGACAGGGTAGTTTCGCTAAATGTGCTTGTGTCCCAGGCTGTGCCGATTGAACCGTTGCAGCACTTCGGATGCATTGGGAGCGCGCGGCTCTCGCAATCAATGTTGGGTGCAACCAGCTTGCGCCTCACTTCACGTGCCCTTACTTTAAGCAGGTGTCACTCGTCATTGTGGGCGCAATTCCTGGCCCCGCCTATGTTCGGGGGGTGGGGACAGAAGCCAGGTTGGGCCCTAGCTCCCTCCCCTGCCTGTCCTACAGGAGGAGCTGGGCTGTGTCTCTCAGACCCCCCACTTGTCCTACAGAGAGGGGT